TTCTCCCTTTTATTACCGCTATCGTCAGATCTATGTGAGATGAGGAACATGGACAGGTTGGGTTTTATTTTGGAAGAGTTGCATACATACCACTTAATTCCTATGTATTTACACCATTTACATATTGGTGAGACCTAAAATTTCAATTTTTTACATATATACCACCTTACCTATGCATGAAAAGTGGCTATTTTTGATGTGATGTAAATGATTTGGGGTATAAATGTAAAAAGTGAAGTTTAAGATTGTAGGGGGAATCTGTTTGTGTTGTAGGGTTATGTTGTTCTTCTGCAGAGATGATAAACATAGCACTCAATTCTCATGGATTTATGTATCCCACACCTAAACTTTCATATTTACACACAGACTCAATTTTTTTTTGTATCACATCAAATATAGCACTAATTATCACTTTTTAATGGGTAAATCTACATTTTCATGCAGAGGTCTATGCTTGTAAATCCGGAAGTTCAGGAAGGAGATGCGTAAATCCGTAAGAATTAGGTGCTATGTATGTAAATTTTCCATTAATCAAAATATGAAATGAGTTCGAAAAGAGTGATATTTTCATAGAAAAACATGGTATTTGACTAACATCAATAAAATGATGTTTGGCTAGTGTGAACTCATTCACAGAATGATATAACTTCAATCAACATTAGTTATAATATAGTGGTGATACTATGGTTTCAAGTTTTATCATTTATTACAAATAATAATGCTGTATGCTTTGATATACTTTCATCATCAATCTATGAAATGCATAACAAATGTAGCTTTGTTAGCAATTCTTTCTTCACTCGCTCCTTAATCGATTGTTTTCTTTTGTACAACATGATTTCGGCTTGGTTGCGAAGCGGGATTAAATTGTCATTGAAGGAAGGATCAATTTATGTTTGAGGCTAAGATGGTGTACATTGGTTACCAGATAGGACTAACAATCTTATAAAATATTTAATATCTAATATAAATGACAATAATAATATCATTGATAATTTATCCAAGTTTAAAATGCATATATATTAAAATTTATTAGTCAAGCCTACACAACAAATGTTACAATACAATTAAGTTTAGTACCACAAATAAGTTAGCTCTACCACTTTGTTTAAAAAAAAACGTCAAATACTAGGACTTAAATATAATTTCAATTAATTTTATCAACTATTGTCTCAACTAAGTCAGGATATTGGCTGATCACGGGGATAAACAGTTCAAACTCTCTTAGTTAGTGAGGAGATGAGCTCATTTTGGCGCATGTTGGTTCAAATGATTCAAGCATTTGAACAAAATTGATAGGAAACACGAGTCAAATGAGTTAACTAGGGTATACCTGTGTAATGGCATCCTATAGAGTATACCTGTGTTCAATTAATAGAATTAGTTTTTAGGTTAAGGGTCTGTTTTGGCTCAATTGAACCAATTCAAGTCTATTTAGACCAAACTGGGTCGGTTGGATCCAAATAGTCAAATTACGAGGTGTGTTGTATCTTATGGGAAGCTTATAGTCCAAAGCAGTTGGCCAAATTGAGTTTGAAGTTA